TGCGATATTGCGGCAAAAACCATGTTTATGTCCACAATCTTTGAAGAGCATTGAGCCTCTTCTTTTTCTTCTATCTTTGTTGTCTCTTCTTCTAATTCCATGTGAAAGACATATTCCTCAAAATTAATCTTTTCCGCCTCCATGGCCTCTCTCAACCGTGATTGTAATTCAGTTTTTAATCCATTTGTCGCCAAACCACGTTTGCTCCAGCTCCTTTTTCAGTTGTGGAATCTCAGATCGTTAAACTTGGCCATTTTTAAATAATTATCTCCTTGGGAATTTATTTGACAATCCCACTTCTGACACCAATTGCAACGGATTTCTCGATAAATCGTCTACCTGTAACTCACTCTTGAGTTCGATCACTAGATTGTTAAATAAAAGTCCCAATTTAATGGCTACACACTTATCTTTTTTTCTAATTCCAACAACTTAACACTTATTGCTCGTTATTCAAGCTTACAATTTCTTGCTTATAGCTTAATTGCTCTTATCACGACACACTCCAACTAGAACTGTGTTTGCTGCACAATCCGGCAGCCCTTATATAGTAAACCTGTAACAAAACATTGCTTCTAGAACATTCTGGCAACTACGAATTCGCTAAGTGTGCTTTTACATTGGGACTCAAAAGAGTCTCATTTTTTTCAAATTCTCTTTTGGTGTCGCTCTGTGCATTCACACGGTCAAAAAGAGTCCAGCAACTCGAGTCTAGTTTTTCTGCATTCCTTTTCACAAAATTTTCGTAAATATTTGTGCGGTTCGACTGCGCAACACCGCGGAACACCGCGCAACACTGCGTGCTGCGTATTTCATTTGTATGTTGAGATGATAGTCACACATTTTGCTTGCAATGAATTACCATGAATATGGTAGAACAATATGCATAATACAAGTACCTACCCGCTAAATAGTTTCAAAGAAATACTAAAGACGGGAATTCCCTAATCCACAAGAATGTATTGCATATCCGCAACTAATATTTTCAAGGCCAAATTTATAATAGGAATTTCCTAATCTTTAAGTATTAAAAACTCATAATTTCTTTACTCCGTATTAAAAATTCATAATTTCTTTACTCCATAATCTATATCTTAATTTTCTCCTTATTTACAATTTGTCATAATATTTCTATTATTCTATGCATACGTATTTGCATATTACATACAAAAATAGATAACAGAACTCAAATTTGCGATCGAATTCATTTGAAACCGAGCGCTCTTGCAACCATTCAAAGAATTTGAAAGTGAAAAGGAATGCTGAAAAGGGTAGCAGCGAGCTGTTACGAACAAGAACACAAAGCGTGCCACCCGAACACGAGTGGCACGGTCCCTTCGTCTTTCCTCGTCGTCCCCTCGCCCACAATAAACTGGTATGAGACTCTTTTGAATCCCTGTGTGAAACGGCACTAACTAGTTGCTTCTGGCAGTTTATCGTTCATTCGATTTTGTTCTATCATCTATGTTCATGTTCGTCACAATATACACATTTTTAACAATTATTATATCGATATATTCTTAATATACGTGTATACGTACTTATTAAACATATTTACAAAAGTGGATTATAAGCATAAATAATAAAACAAACATACACTTATACATAAGTGCTAAGGAAAATTGCTGCACATTAACAACTCTGTTTTCACGCTATTCTTCTTTTGGAAAAATATACAATAGAACTGCAATTTATACTTACATACATACGGCATAGAATTTGCCTCTCTCTTTTACCCCACAATGTGTACTATTACATTATTAATTTAAAATAATTACCACAAAAAAGACAAATATAAAGATCGTAAAATTCACAAGAAATTAAACGGTAATAAAGCGGTATACTATTAGATTTTACTACGACAAATATATTCAGCAACAAAATATCTTCAGTATACTTACATACTTCCTCATATGTTATATATACGTGTCATTCCATGTCAAATCGAATTTTGGTGGTAAGTTTTGTCTTATCATATCCCGAAGTTCTGCCAAAAGTAAAACGTTTCCCGCGATAGTTACTTTTTACGATTTTCCAAAATTTTTTTTTATTTTGGTAATTGTCAAAATTTCTTTTCAAAACAATTTTTTTCCCATAAGTCTAAGTGTCCTCTGAAAACTCACCAGCGTTCTTTGTTTAATATACAGTACTTGTAGTTTCTAAAATATTAAACTAACGTCCTACTATTTGTTGATTTGACATGGAATGACCCATACGCATTTCAGATTGGCAATTATTCGGCAATACCCCTTGTTCTTTGGCAAACAAAAACAAGCAGGATTGCGTACCATCGTAAATATACCATGTTGCGTACCAAACAAAAGTGCATTGATCTTTTTTAATTGTTTTTAAACATATAAATAAAATGATTAATGTTGATACAAAAAAAAAAAATACATCTAGAGCTACACGCTCAAAACAGGTTGCTATATTTATTTCAGAAAGTGACAGGTAAATGAGATACTGCACTAGATTTGCATCTTCACCGATTTAATACTACTTTGAATCGGTATTAAAAATCAATTTTAAAAATCTTGGCAATTTTTGAACACGACTCCAAGCGGCTTATGACCATTGTATTAGCCTATATTTTTAAATGCTCATGACGCCATAGTAGAATCTGACGATTCAGATCTACCACACAATTTTGAATCATTTGCTTACGCCAAATACGAACACTGCTTAGACCAGTATGAAGCTACAAAAGCTATCATTGTATAAATCTTATACAATGAAGCCATAATCTCCGATCAATTAAAGCTAATAAAGGAAATTGAACTTCCTAGTAGAGATAAAGAGATGCCCAACTCATCTCTCACTGGAAATAAGAGCGTAATTGCTAAACGTCAAAACCTCGTGAACTCAGGCAACTGTCAAAGTTCAGGAGGGTCTGAGGGACGGCCAGATTGAAATCCTACAGAAAAATATGTGAACAGAGAGATTTGTTGCCGCTGTTGAAGATCACTAACAAAAATTGGAAAACAATTAAAATGAAAGAAAACGCAAAATTGAAATGTATGTGATTAAATCTTTTGTGATGCCATGTTTCGTAGTATTAATTTTCAATTGAAAATGATAAAAAAAACATTCACTAATTGAGAATTAATACATTTTTTTACTCTTTAAGTATTGAAAGTGCAAAAATCAGTTGTTTTAATATATCACAAAAATGGATTTATATAATTTTTCCATATGTTTAACGCATACATGAAAATAATATTTAATCTTAATAAAAGTTGAGTATTATAATTTAAATGCCCAAAAATTATTATTTTGTCCTATCTGGCTACAATGCAAAATGTTATAAAAAACGCTAATATTTGAGCGCGCTCTCACACTGGAAAGAGTTAGGTATCCCATTATCCCTGGCACCCACTTCAAACCCGTGAGTAAAGCTGCCAAAAGTACAAAGTCAAGAGGCAAGTTCAATTGTACTTCAAACACGAATTATAGAAAAAAATCGAATCGACGATAAATTGACAGAATCAACTAGGCAGCGAATTCGCAGTTGCCAGAATGTTCTAGAGGCGAAGTTTTGTTAAATATCTACTATATAAGGGCTGCCGGACTGTGCAGCAGCCACAGCTCTAGTGGCACAAATGGTCACCGATTATCCTCCCTTCCGTACATCAGCTGATACGACCTATCTTATGAGAGCGCAATGTAAATGAACAGTCACCATCGCTTTTACCGTGCGCTTCAACAGACCGTACGGTAGGATACCCGCGAAAATTGGATTTTTTCCGTAGATACGAGTGAGCTGAGAGTGAGAGAGCAATCTCTTGCAACGCAGGCTTGCCAATCTCGATATTTTGTAGTAATTAAAAAATGAACTTGAATAATGATAACAAACCAGTGATCGAACTTAAGAGTGAATTATAATTAGACCATTTATCGAGAAATCCGTTAGAATATCAAGACGGCTTTCCTGATCGAAAAGTGAGAGTGTGTAGTAGAAAAGTGTAAGTGTATTGCATCTGGAAAGCAGTTTCTTGATCGTGTAACGTCCGGGTAAGCCAATATAAATATTATATGTTGGCTAAGGCTGTGTGCCCAACCATAGAAATATTAAAATTCTGACAGATAAAAGTGAAAGTTTGAAGTTTATCGTGGTGAATACGAATGTCAGAATTTTACCCAACTCCCGAGCTAGGTAAAATTTTGATAACTTATAATATTGAATACAAACTTGCATTCAGGAATAAACGAATTTAAAAGAACCGCTGCATACATAACAAATATGTTATAAAATATGTCATTAATTCGTAGTTTATCATTTGTCTATGTTATTATATATTCCATACAGAAATGAGCTCTTAATAAGAAAAGTTCTTGGCTCCGTTTAATATTTTCTATTTAGCCGAAATAGTGCAAACTTAAATTAAGATGAAAGAATTAAGTAAAAATAATATTTTTGTAGTTATATGATATAATTGTGTATATACATATGTGTACGGAATACAAGTAGCGTTGAATTAGCCTAGCAAGATGCCAAAAATTATCAATTAATAACAAATCTTCAAATTAAAGAATTTTTTCAAGTTGCATTGGTATTGTTATTAGTAGTTGCTTTTCATTTTAAAAATATATTTAATAATTTATATAACAAGGCAAACACTCAAACGACGCAATTTCGTTTGTTTTGAACTGTCAAAATTTTTTTACACCATAGGAAATTTTTTCACCAACTCAACATAGTGTGACGAACACGAGTACCAGAACAAATCAGAATTGACGATAAACTGCCAGAAGCAACTAGACAGCGAATTCGTAGTTGCCAGAATGTTCTAGTAGCGAACTTTTGTTAAAAATTTACTATATGCTGCCGGATTGTGCAGCAGACACAGTTCTAATTAGAGTGTTGCCGTGTATAGAGCAATTAAGTTATAAGCAATAAGTTGTAAGTTCGAATAGCGAGCACTAAGTGTTAAGTTGTTGGAATTGGAAATAAAGATAAGTGTATAGATTTAAATTGGGACTTTAATTTAACAATCCAGTGATCGAGCTCAAGAGTTTGTTATAGTTAGACGATTTATCGAGAAATCCGTTACAATAGGGAAAAATGTTATCGTTTGGCACACAGCCTAGGCCTTCCATACAAAATCATCTAAGCTAATCGCTTAACGTCATTGTATAAACATTGTATAAATTATGTTAGAGATACATTTATCCATTGTATAAGCCTTGAATATATTGTAGATGTATACAATGCATTTATCCCTGCATAAATAAAACACGTCTACTATTTATAACTTCTGTAATGTAAATGGGAAAATGCCTTTTGCAGATATTAAGTGTATTCGGGAAGTAAGCAGTGAAGACAGTGTAAGTCTAAATCTCTAAATATCTCGATTAGTTTTTGTATTAATTTAAACATATTTCAGAATTATACAGCTGAAAATTTAATAAAACATACTGCAAAAAAGTGGAAAACACAAACTTGTGGTGAAAGAGTTGCGTTTATTGTTTTCGAATTAAGTGAGCCACACATAATTACAGGTATTGATATTGGAAATGAGCATTCTGCTTTCATAGAAGTATTGGTCAGCAAAACTAGTTGCAGCACAAACAATTTTACTGTAAGTTTAATAGTACTTGAAAACTTAGTCGCAAACCCAGTTCTAACAACATATTGTAGGAAATTTTGGTGACTTGTTCGTTTATGACTCTTATAGAGAGTAAAAATTCTACCAATGTCAATCGGGTCCGTTGTTTTAATAAAGAAGCATTAGTACCAACAGCAGCATCTGAAAAGTGGCAGTTTATTAAAGTGATTTGCAGTCAACCTTTCAACAAACACGTACAGTATGGAATATCGTTTATTAAACTGCATGTCGATTCTGAACTAAATAAGAAAACTATTCCTTGTGAGCATAAGAAACCAATAACTACAAATAACGTGACTAATTTCTCTGAGTCACCAAATAACTCCCAACTGGGTAAATTTAAATTGCGAGAAGTGTCTCCAGAATCTGACTCGGAAAGTTCAAGATCGCTATTTAAAAGATGGAAAGTTTCTGAAATGAATACTAATTCAAGAAGATCTCCAATAAGAAATAAAACTGTAAAAACTAATGAACCTGTTAACAATGAAAAGTTGGCCATTTTTTTAGATCGTAATCGGAAAGAACTTGGTTTTGGTAGCGAAGAAACGAGAGATGGGGAAATACTTCCCATGAAAAAACAAAGACTTTTAAAAACTATCGAGATTGAACATCAACAACTGCAAGCTAAAACTGAAAAATCCAAAGTATGCAGGGACAGTAAGAAAGCAGTTATAAATTCTTCAAATGCAAATAAAAGGCACGAATATTTCGGAGATAAAGCAACAAAAAAAATTGACAAAAGTTATGACATAGTCCAAAAGCAAAGGGAGAAACCTATAATATTTCGACCATTCCATGAACTACTAAAAGGCACTGTTTTAGTTATCAGTGGAATACAAGTATGATCCTTATATCGAAGAATGCTTTATCTGTTGTATACTTAAATTCATTTTTTCAGTAGAATCCTGATCGTTCAGATATTCGGGATAAAGCTTTGTCAATGGGAGCAAGATATAGAGCTGATTGGGGAACTGGTTGTACACACTTAATGTGAGTAAAAAATTAGCCCGGCATGGAATTTGGGTATAGATGATGTATATATGTATGTATATATGGTGTGTTTATTAGATGCGTTAACCCTTAACTGCAAGCTTTTTTTTTTGATCTGAAAAAAAAGGATATTAAGGCTACAAATATCCACACAATTTCTTAAAATAAAAACGAAAACAAAAAAAAATGTATGTAAAGATTTTGTTCAAAAAAATGTTATGTTGTAAAATTGCAATCCTGCATTTATGTATGAAATTTGTTTGTGTGTATCCCGTATATCGAGGCATTTTGTATCTTCCACGAGCGCAATATTGCGGCAAATTATTTGTTGGCAGAGCCTTTGGCGGAACATACGGTGTTGGTCCTCGCCGTTTCTTTGCTTGAAGCTCTCTTTTAACGCTGTTTTCAATACTAGGTCTCCCACGCTTATTACAGATCATGATTACAGGAATAATAAATTGACATACATTTAGGTTGCCTATACCATTCAGGTCTTTATAAACAAGTCACGAATTTATAACGAATATATCAATAAGACTGTAATAAATACGAAGATACCACTTCCTGCTTCTCATCATAAAACGATATCTACCAATAAAGCTGTCCATAAGATCTAACACCCATATGTACATTGTAATCTTTGACAATTTGAGGACATAGATAGTTGAGTTTCTTTTTTCCACTTTCGCTTTGTTAAATCTTTATTTGAGACACGGGTTCTGCCGATGATGAAAACAATGCCACAACTTTGTTGTCTTTCCAAGTAATAGCTACTAGTTAAACGCCTTCAAAGTCGCCTACTTGTTCTTCGTAAAAACCGCAAGGAAATATTTCTTTCATCATGACTTTTTTGTCCGTAAACTTGCAATTTACTAATATTTTTGCTTGGACGGTACCCAGGCAAAAAATCCCTTGTTTAGCAAAATAGGTAACCAACGGAATTGTCGTATAAATTGTCAAAGTACAAAATATGGTTAAAACTTCTAGGAACCCCGCGAGATAGCCGTACGACGATATTTCCTACTGGTCCTAAATCTAGCTAATCATTATGATGTTTGTGTATTTTTGACCCGGTGTATATTTCAAAATTATGGCCATAACTCTTGACATTACACTAATAGCTGAAACAGTCACCGATATTCCTCCCTTCCGTACTTACCGCCCGTATCAAACCAAATTTGTATGAAGTTATGCTCGTAGTTGCAACGCCAGACCAATCTAAGTAGTACGTAGGTCGTTATAATAATATTTCATGCATACGTAGAGAGAAAACCTAGGCTCGGGGGAATTAGGGTGAGGGCTCCCTGATCCATGAATTTATTGAAAATATATTTTATTTATTTTGAGAAAAAATTAGTTCCATTTTACCATAAGTATAAATGTGCTCGAGTATATACATATGTATATGGTAACTTGGGTAAAGCATCCTGAAGAAACATTAATGCTGATCTCAAAAAATTTAATTTTTCAATTGATGATGACCGCTGGGAAGCATATAATTATAAAATTACAAGCAAGAATTCTTATGAAATGTAGTAATTCATAATGGGAAAAATTGTAGTGAATTGTTGGAGAAAAAAATGGAAATTGTTGTAAAGCACTGTGCTTCCCAGAGAATTTCGGGTCCAGAACCTCCTCCCTCTCTCCTGTACTCTGTATACCATGAAAAATATTTTTAATTAAAAGTAAGTATATACATATTCATGTACGAAAACTTTTACATAATATTATATGATATATTTCTAAAAATATTAATTTTTTTCATTATAAAATATATACATGTATTAATCGCAAAATAATTTTCCATAAACTCTTCATCTCTACGAATAATATTGTTGCTAAGTAATTTAAATTTTTAGATGTGCCTTCAAGAATACACCAAAATATAACCAGGTGAGTGGAAAAGGTAAAATAGTTACTCCTGCTTGGATAGAAGACTGCTACAAACAAAAGAAATGTTTGCATTGGCGAAGATATGCTTTGGATAGCAGTGATCTTAATCAATCCCACAGTGAGGAAGAGGTGCCAGATGAATCGCTGAGACCTATTGAATCATCGGTTAACAACACTAAATTCAAGCAACTTGATTTAAAAGTACCATTATACAATCCCTCTAATAGTTCTATAAAAGGCGCCGTGTCGTCAGGAAGTGATACAGATGATGATATTCAACGTGTTTTACAGAGTAATACTCATAAACCTAATTTTAATATATACTTATGAAATTGTATCATGTATTTTAACAGATAATGTTGCAAATGAAACCAAAATATTCAAAGAAAAAGGAGATTTTGATGTGTCTACAGAAGAAGAAGATTATTTGGACGTGAAGACAAAATTAGTACGAAAAGCGAAGCTCAAATAACAATGTTAATATTTGTATTTGTTAAGAATTTAAATTTTTATAAATATAGATGAAAATTAAATGAAAGTAAAGTTCAAATTTTGTAAAAAAAATAAGTAAAAGGTGGATATAATTATATATTTAAGAAGTAGTAAAAAGTGTTCTTCAGCTGATTCTATTGTAAATTTATTTACACGGTATATCAGAAAACCCATTTTAGTGGGCAATATTTGGAAATGGCGATAGAAACTTAAAAGGGGGACATATATTTTGTGTTGTTGTTGTAGCCGCAGAATTCTGCCTAGTTGGCAGTCCTTAGCCGGATAATACCTGGTCCGTTTCGGTTTTATAGACCCGACTGTTGTGGGGACAATGTCTCACAGTAGACACATATCTACTTCGTTATGTCCTAGTTTATTGAATGACTGGAAAGAACTTATGTATTTATCATAAAGAAGAAAATTTACTCGTTAAGTTGCAAAAGGCGTGAAAAGCTATAAATTGAGCAAAAACTTAGATAGTTGTAGATAGTCGGAATTGGGTCATTGCAACGTCAACAAAACGCCGTTAATCGAACTGCCATCACATCATAACTTTTCAAGTCACCAGATTCCGAAATTGTGGACCCCAGTGCGAATGGCCAATTTTTCACCGAAAATACCGGTCAATCTGTGAGATAAATTATTTATATTCGAAAAAAATCAGGTCAATACATACTTACTTATATTTCGAATATGTCGGTTATTTTTTATAAAACTGCGTGAAAACATGATCTCGACTATAACTGGGTGATGTTAAAAGTTCAGACCTTCCCATAGCACTAATATAACCCATAAAACAATTTTCAACTTTCCACATGACTAATACATTTATGGGCTATGGCAATGTGTAATAATTTAATGAAAATATTTTCTTAAAAATAATGTAGTTAGGAACTGAATATGACTGAAACTGGTCAACATCTTGGTCTAAAAATCATATCCCTAATATCGTGATTTCTAATCCTATACATTTAGCTTCTTCGATTGAGTTTATATTTGATTTGAGTTAATTGGGTTAATTTTAATATAAATTTTTCAGACATGGAACAAAACATGAATCTATTTAAATAAATAACAAACCAAATATGACCGAGTAAAATTTTTTTATATTCTCGCAAAATGTTGCTCAGAGTATAATGTTGTTGTGCCCTTTGTCTGTCCTTGGCCGGATGAATAATCGGGTCCGTTCCGATTGCGTAGACCCGACTGAGTCAGAGTTATAATAGTTATGCTCACCTTGTGGTTGTTTGTAACAACAAATCTAAAAGGTATATAGTACCATATACATACATACATATGTATATCATAATTATTAGGACGATTATTTAGACCATGTTTGTTGTCATCGAAATCATTCAACGGGAGGCCCAGGAAAAGTGCTGTTTCGACGGGGCCGGACCAAGGGATAGGGGTGTTGGATGAGTCGGATTCGTTGGGCATGCAAAGAGGTGGGGACTCATTGCACGCAGAACATATGTACATTTGGTATGTCGAGGTAGTTTAACCTGTTTCAATATTCAGAACGAAGTTGCACAAGGGTCAGTCAATATGTACAATAGGTGGTCGCTTGACACCAAGTACGCCATTCAAGATTTGCTGCATCTCTATACTTTCGTACGCAGAGTGAAAAGGTACAGGCTGTCGAGTGTAACACTTAAAATCTTAGGGTTTGAACAGTCGGAATTTTAACACCATCGACTGCGATATTATTCGGTCTGTCCTTCCTCATTCAGTGTGTGAATATGTCACTGTGGGTTTAGTAGGGAAGAATATTAGGCTCTTTGCAGAGAAGAAGCGAGAAGGATAAATGAGATACCGGTTTACTTTTGGACACATGTCATCAATTTCGTTCCCTGACGTTAATATCGTATCATTTGCTTATGCGTTGATGAAAACTCCCTCTTCATGGTTCCTTGCATGATAGACTTTCTGAGAAACTTTTGACATGTCCAACGATACTAGAATCGTCCTCTCACAGAGTAGTTTTGGATTTATTCTACGAATTAATCGGGCGGGCTGAGGTGATAGTGTGCGCTTTTCTGAAACCATGTAGATGGTCTGCTAAACGCTAAGTGAAGTTCGATATGAACAAGGCCTCAAGTGTCTTCACTATTGGGGAAAGGAGAGTTATAGGACGACAAAATGATGGATAGGCCTCCACCGCGATATTTACATAAAGCATTAAAGTTAAATTGTGGTATTCGGGTTTCGACGTAAGTCGGTCGTGGAGAAGATGCGTTTACCCGCTAGCATCACTCAAGAGTCATGTTGAAGAGATATTATGTAGCGGTCTGGAGTCGTTTGAGTGTTGACCTTATGGTGATCACCGCTTAATCAACATTGTCTTCCTAGCCATGTGTATTGGGCGTGCTCCAGGATTTTTGGATGGTCTTAAGAGGCCTAGCTTAACCATCAGCTGGAATTATTATTTGGCTATCTTAAACCGATCGGGGAATAGCTGGTGGACACCCTGAATATACGGTGCATGATGGCATGCTTTGTTGATGTGTGCTTGGATGGATTGCCCAACAATTCGAGAAAGACCATTTAAGAAATTGGTTGAATTTTTTATTTTCGCTTACAGTGGTGATGGATGTAATTGGAGTTTTGGCGTATGAGCCTGAGGTGTGGGAACTGGTGCATGGGTCTAAGATGCATCTCCGTTTGAGGTTCATGATGAGCCATATTGTTGCATTGGGTATGCTCCGTTTATTGAATACGGCACTTCGGCAATGCAAAATATCTCTTGTATTGCTCGACGGAGGCCGATGTCAAGTATACGATTTTTTTTACCATATACATCATATATCCACATGTATTTCTATTTTGCTGCCCTTTTCAGCTTGGAGTGGGAACATCTTGAGTTTATTCTTGTCAATTTGTAGTAGAGAAGGTACAAAGATATTCCCGTCAGTATCGGCGAGGTATTTCCCATCAGAAATGCGGTCATAAATAAATAGTAGGGGAGGCTGGAACCAGTTATCGCCGAGTTTACTGGGTACTGCTTAGTGTCCAAGCTCATAGGTGTGTGCATTTCTTGTCATGCGCTCGGTGGTGTTAGTAAACTAAAGGTAGAGTAGTCTTACGGTGAGCCAAAAGATTCGTGCGAATGTTGTGACTAGCTGCCTTCCACCCAATCGTTTCATTCCGCTAGAAGTTAATATGAACGCCGATCGTCCAATTGTACTCCCGAAAGCAGTTTCTTGATACGATAGAGTTTGTCAATATGTGCATTAAGTTCATGATTCGATGGTGCAGCGATTCGGTCGAAGCATCAATCAGCTAGAGTCTCGTCATTAATGTTTTGAGGAAACTAAACCAGAAAAATTCCCTAAGTTCAATATAAGAACTTAATGGAAAAAGTGTTAAAAATTTAAGTTTAAGTTTTAAAAGGTATATGAAATTGTATTGCCAGAAGTGTTCAGTGTCGCTAAACTGTCAAAAAATTAGATCGGAACAATAAACAAAGACAGTTCTACGGCAGATGTGTAACCATTATTTGTACTATCGGAGAAGAGCTAACGATTTCCTAATTTCTATTCATTAGTACCGGTTTCCAGCTCAATTACTCGCAACGTTATTTGACGGTTTCATTACTTACACCTAAAAACTATAAAAATTAAAACAAATCTATATATATAAATATAAATATATATTTTAATTATGTTAGTGTACTATCTTTATTTTCCTTGCATTATAATTTTCTGCTATCCTCGTATACTATCGTCCTTAAAAATTATCCGTATTTCCTATTATGTTTATTTACTATTGGTTTTCTGATTAACTCATTAATATACCTTTTCGATTATGCGTTTCTTCCGATACTGAAGGGCTTGGCAAAGTTGATACTCCTGCGAACCATGATCTATCCCATATCCCACCCATATCTATCTGGTAGGAATGGGCTCTAAGATAATTTAAATATTTTTAGTATTAATTAATAATGTTTTAATTACTAAAAGGGCGTCGAAAATTGGGGTTTTTAAGCGAATTTTTAGCTAACTCCGCAACTATGTTGTAAGGTAATAGCCATTTCGTCTGTAATAATATTTTAAAAGCCTTTAACTACACCCTTGAGTTGTAAGTCCACACATTTGACTTGCAAATAAGTAAAGTGAAAAAATTTGTAATTACATATCATAAATCTTAAGTAAATAACTTTTTTCAAGTAATTTTTTTTTTATATAAGACATTTTAATTAGTGTTTGGCGAAGAAATCTTAGAAGATAAGAGTAGATTTTGCTAAAAAGTAAAGCGCCCTGGATTTTGAATAATATTAATGCTAAAAAGAATAAATCAATAAATGAGCTTAAAAATAGCTTATTTTGTACTTGCAGTGAAAGTTTTTAAGCCCTCATAGCTTCGTCTGAATTGCAAGGCTTCTATTTCTCCATCTGTTTGTAGCACGCATATTAAAATTCTTTGGGTCGCGGACCTTCCATATCACTATCTTTAATTTTGTAATAGTAAAACTTTTAACTTTTTTTCTTATATTATAAATCTGACAAAGAAAATGTTGCAATATCAGCTTTAGAATCTTCTAAATTTATAATATATCTCCTTAAGCAACTAGAATCCCTAGTACATACACCATTTGACATATTTTCTACTTATTTAATTAGGTTAATAACTACTCAGGACAGATTTGTACAAATAATTTTCAAAAGCTTAGCAAGATCCAGAAATTAAGTCACCTACTTACGTGACAAATAACACTATTTTACCAAACATAATTTGGAAGTATTCTGCAACACATTGAGCATGAAATGGGCAGTTACAATGGGCAAAACAAAAACAGGAAAAACTATCCTATCCTAAACATGGTATACGAAAATTATTGGTCATAACTGGATTCTTGAACTCTGAAAAACCGTCTATCACTTTTCAAGGAATCACTTGGTTGAATAATTTTGTATATATTATTTAATTGACATTTTAATCGTACATGCAAATATTCGCCACTAACAAAAGTTGAATTATTTAGCTTGGGCGGACAATCGGACTTATAAAAAGAACCCACATAGAAATTTCTACCTCAAGAATTTTTTTAT